CTCCTGGTGGTAAGCCTTATTGTACAGATTTGGGAAGGATGCTGCATAGACCTGCTTAGGATTGCTCTCTGTGAGGGTCACATCGATCGTCCTTTTTACATTTTCAGAGAGGCGGGGGAGGAAGATAGTCACCAGCTACGGTCTCATTAAAGTCAATGGGAGTACATCTCTGTTTAAGTGGTACCCTTAAAGCTTGCAGCCCAGTCAAAGTATTTAAAAACATTTCTTTGCTGCAGTGCAGTGGATCTGTTTTGATAGATCCAGGTGGGCAGCGTGTTGGTCTGAAGCAGTAGAACAAATTTTGAGTTCAGTGGTCTTAAAGGTGCCACTGGACTCCAAATTTGCATTATGTATTCTATTTTGTAACTGTCATTTGACAGTTAATGCACAAGGTAGAGATCAATAGTCTTTTAATTAGGCAATAGTGCCATCTAGAGGCTCTTTGATAGTCACCAAATTTCAATATACCATGGTCTTTTAAATGTTTTGTTTCAGCCTTGCCTTTCAAAACCCAAGGGAAGGTCAGATTCATTTTAGTTTTTAGTAAACAAAACAACAAAAACCAATGTGTTTTCAGTTTCTCTGAAACTCTATGAATCTGGGATATTTTCAGCACCACATCTATGAAGCACTCTTTACACTTCAGAGCGAAACAGTCCATTTTAGAAACAATTCAGCACACGGACACTTTGATTAGCTCCATTCAAAGAATCCTGGGATTAGACGTGGTATCACTATAGCAACAGGAAAGCCTGGAGGCAAGGAGAATATTGGCAATCTGATTCTTTCAAGGAGATCAATAAAAATATGGATACAAACTGGAAAAAAGTTGCTTTTATTTAAAAATTCAATATTTCATAACAATAACTTTAAACAGTGAGTGACGTTTATATTCACTCTGAACTGTGTAATGGGGGTGTGGGGGGGAAGAGGAGGAGAAAAGAAAGGAAGGGGGTATGAAAATGGAGATGGATGCAAGAACTGGTGCTGCTCCAACAAGCAATACCGTCCCCCTGCCATGCAAATCTTGGCACAACATAACACAGTCAGTGCAGTACTGCATCCTTCTCACAAAAGGGCTTTTAAGAAGCTATGCTCTCTTAACTGTAACAGCTTTCATTTGCCATTCCTATCCTTCTAATGGTTTCCAAGAGTCCAGGTTGGCTTTCTTCCAACTGTGTCTGACCCACCTGCTTAGGAGAACAAAACAAACATCCACTCTTGGGCATGTCAGGTTGACTGTAGAATATAAGCACAGCTACACAACGGCCCTGGCTGGGTGTCCCTGTCCTTGGCCCATGGATATTTTCCATTGAGACCTCCCAGAAAGAATAGCAGGCTGCATTGGCTCTTTAACGCTTACTATCCTTTTGGACAGGTCTTGGCCACTAGGAGTCTAGCTTATAGCTCCATTTACTGGTATTGGGGTGTCCGTTTCACTGGGCTGCACATAGCAGGAGCCTATATGCAAGGATTTAAAGTTCATCTGTGAATATGAAGTTGTTCCCTTAATGTAAAAAGGCCACAAAGGCTGTTAAGTAAATACAGGCAAGGTACAAAACATTGCTCAAGGCATAAAATGATGCTCAGAAGGTGTCCTTGTAGTTCAGAACTATACTAGGCCAGAGGCTTTCTCTTGCACGTTGTATTCTTTGTTCTTGGTCATCTTCCACATGATTAAGATTAACATCAGAATACCAAGAAGTTTGTAACCCACCTGGAGACCAAAGTACCTGCCAAGAGAAGGGAAAAAAAGGGATGAAACTTCAATCAGATAAACCTTTAGCTGTGTGGATTGGCCCACTTGCTTTGGAATGTAATGGGAATAGCAATGTGATCCAGGGGTCATTTCGTAGAAAAAGAGCTAGGGGAACTCATTAGCATAACTCATTAGCATATGCCACACCCCCTGACATCAGGGGCCTGGCGGTGGACCTGCAAGGCCAGCGGGAGTGCGAGGAAGCCCCGCCAAGGCCCTCCCTGGCCCCAGGCAGGCAGGGGTGGGGAGAGGCAGGGAGGAAGCAACTTACCCTCCCTCTTCTCCTGCCTCCTCCTGGCTGAATGAGGGCTGGAAGCGGGGCGGCCGGAAGCAGGGGGCGGGGCTTCGTCATGTGCCCCGCCCCCTTGCACCTCACCCGGGGGAACTGGGTTCCCCCGCATTCCCCCCCGAAATGACATCTGATGTGATCTAGAAAAGGAATCTCTGGACTGGATTATGGGAACACAGAATGCTGGAAGCCAGCACAGAAGTCCATCTAACACAAGCATCCATAGCCCAATGGTTGTGTGACTAAGGATATTCTGGACTTTCCTTGTGAACTTCTGAAAGACTGCAATTAGCATGGGGAAAAGATCCTTCTCTGGGGCTAGGAAGGTAGGCTTCCAATATCCACCAAAGGGGGAGGGAGGTCTCTCCCCTTGCACTCCAAATACCAAAAATAATAAAGTTTCTGTTCTGCTGGTACTATTAAGAACAACCGATTGCCACAACAGATGACACAACTTGAAAAAAATGTTGATAAAGGATCTGAATCAAGAGGCCATCTTTCCCCCACCAAATAACTCTTGGTAGGAAAGGGCTTCTGATTAAGAGAGAGATTCCAAGGGAAGGTGGCCTTAACTTAGATCAGATGTGGAGACAGACCCAAATGATGGAATTGCAACAGTTAAGGCCAGGGTCTAATGGTCTTTCTTCCCATGAAGAGGATAGAAATTTACAGTAAGTTCTGGATTTTCTTTTTACTGAAGGGAGGAAGGCAGTTAGTGTGGGGATGTTAAAGATCAGTACATTCTTGAGAGGGTCACCCCACCGTCTCCAGTGCCAACCCACAATCCCACTTATGTGTGGTTGTCAAAAGCCTCTGGAAGACTCATCAACCATAGGGGGAGGGGCTGTGTGTGGCATGCAGAAGGTCCTAGGTTCATCTCCAGTTAAGGATCAGGTAGCGGGTGACATGAAAGACCTTTACCTGAGAACCTGGAGAGCCACTACCAGCCTGAGTAGATAATGCTGACCTTAATAGACCAATGGTCTGATTAAATATAAGGCAGTTTCATGACATCTTGTGATCAAAGGCTCCCTTCCATCATGGTAAAAGTGTCTATCAGAGTGACCTGGGAAGGAATCCATGAGGGCCCACCTGCTGCCTTGGCTACCTCCATCAGAGTTTCTGTCTCTTCACAGCGTGAAGGTTTCAGTGCTGATCACAGAGCGTACCAAAATAGTGCTTTGGGCAACAGCCAGCATCCCAAAGCTGCCATGGATGCCCTTTTTCACAAGGGATGATTCTTGAAAGAAATGATAAGGGGTTTCTGTTATCCTAGACATGGTCCTGTGAATATGTTCCCTAGGACTCCACAGACATGGTGTGTGTATATAATTTCCTTTCTGTAGAGCAATGGACCACAGACAATGAGGGGGTGAGTTCTTGAATTCTCTGGAAACCAGAGTTATTTTTTCAGAATAAGAGATGGATTTGGCCTGAGAAACATTGTGTCTTGATGAACTATTCACAGTTCTTTCTCAGGGCCTTAACTCCATGACCTATGCAAAGAATAAGTCATATTGGTGTTTGAAAGGACAGTTCAAGAAAGGTGCTGGGGTGGGGGAGAACCTCTTTTTGGTATTATGACAAGCTCCAAGACGTAGCCCATAGAGACGTTCTGGAGCCATTTCAGCATTGGTAATCCATGTGTATGCATTCTAGTGGTAGTTACACAGAACTGGATTTTTTTCTCCTGATCAGTGAGAAGAAAATGCAGGCTTGAATCTCAGCTTGTGTTGCCATATGGATTTGCACTCTCTTGATAGGCTCTTGAATGATGAGGAGCACTTTGGGGTGGTGGTGAAAAGAATGAGACCGTTTGGAAGGCTTTCTTTCTTTTTTTCTTTGTGGTATTTCAAAGGGGTAGCTTAGCTAGCTTAGTTTTCAAGTTGGTGTCTACACTCCCAGCTGCATAGACATAGTTTGCAGCTGGCAACCATGGAAGCCATGGATCTAACTTCTAATATTGAATACTCCAGGAAGCATTAATGAAGACAGTATTTATTTTATTTATTTATTTTATTCAATTTATACCCCACCCTCCCTGTGAACGGGGTCAAGTAGAAGTCAAGGAGATTCCCCTGAAGTTTTCCTTGGTTGCTGTGCCAAGTCCCATATGGAGGCAACCTAAGATCAGTGTCACAGATAAAAGTTCTAAGATCGTATTGAACACTGAGGTAACATAATGGCAAAGAAACAAATCCAAATCTTCCCTGTGTCATGAACTCACTAGTTTGCATTAGGCAAGCTGCTCACACTTTCTGCCTCCCTCCTGCAATAACGATGGGGGAAAAATAATAATACTGACGTACTTTACAGAGGTTGATACTACAAGAAGGTGATGCATATAACCAAAAGGGAGTCTGCAATCAAGAAATCAGAAGACGACAGACTGGGAAGGGCATCCAAGAGGGAGCTGGAAAAGATTCTTAAGTGTAAGGATGTGTCACTGTCAACCAAGATCAAGATAATTTGTACCATAGTATGCCCCATTACTATGTATGGGTTTGAAATGAAGAAAGTTGACAGGAAGAAAGTTGATTCATTTGAAGTCTGATGCTGAAAGAGAGTTTTACAGATACCATGTACTGCCAAAAAGACAAATCACTGAGCTCTAGATCAAACCAAGTCTGAACTCTCCCTAGAAGCTAAAATGACTAAACTGAGACTATTGTACTTTGGTCACATTATGAGAAGACGATAGTTACTGGAAAAGACAATAATGCTAGTAAAACTGGAAGGTAGCAGGAAAAGAGGAAGATTCAACATGAGATGGATTGACTCAATAAAGAAAAGCCATGGTAATCAGTTTGCATTACCTGAGCAAGGCAGTTAATGACAGAATATTTTGGAGGTCATTAATTCATAGGGTTGCCATATGTCAAAAGCGACTTGACAGCACTTAACACACACACTGTATATGGAGGACTTTCAAAGCATATTATGGAGGTCATTCATTCATAGAGTTGCCATAAGTCAGAAGCAACTTACACACACACACACACACACACACACACACACACACACACACACAAACACACACTGCATATGAGGTACTTTCAAAGCACTACATACATTATTATTATTGTATTGGCAACTCATTGGCTTCTGAAGGAAACAGGACCTTGGAGAGCTGTCAATGCAGCATGGAGCATTGAAGTAACCAGGTCTTTCCTGTCATCCTCAGACATTAGGTACACCTTGTCACAGAAATAGTGGTCAGACTTGGGTTTTGCCATGCCTTGTAAACAGTCTCATAAAAATTGGCTGGAAAGGGAATGAGAGAAGAGGAATGAAATGCCACAGAGAAAGTGGTGGTATTCCCTTCAGGATTTTAGGAACTTGGGTGTTCCTTGTCCTTTTAATTGGAATGGAGGATTTCCGTGGCTTTGACCAAGAGCTTGGGAAAACATTCCTGAGGGAACATGGCTAGCCTAAGACTGGTTTATCCCTTTCCCTTTTATCCCCAGAACTCTCCATCCCCCCTTGAGTCTGTGGAGGCTAGAAATCTCTCTTGAGATGAGGTTCTGTGCCACTTTGGACTGTGGGAAAGGTTTCTGTGAGCTGGAATTAGAGAAAAACAAGAAGTGGGACCCATGATACTCATGGGGGGGGGAGTATGCCCCAAGGCCTGCAAAGGTCCCAAGGCCTGTAAAGCAGGAGGAGGTTCTCACTGAGGAGGAGGCCGCAGGTGAGCCCAGCAGCAATGGTGGCAAGCCCTGCCCGGGTCCCAGCCGCCTGTCCGCCCAGGCTTCCCCCGCCCAGCAGCAACAGCAGCGAGCCCTGTATGGCTCTCAGCCACCCGCCTACCCAGGCTTCTCCTCCCCCGGCCAGGAGCAACTGCAGTGAGCCCTGCATGGCTCCCAGCTGCCCGCCTGCCGTGGCTTCTCTCCCCCCCCCCCCCCCCACCACCCGCGCTCGGATCCCAGCTGCCCACCCGCCAAGGCTCTCCCGGCTCCCTTGCAGCTGCCAATAGCAAGTCCATTCTCTACACATGTGTGAGAATGCAGTTTCAGTTTTGGGGGGATTTTAGTATCCCCGTGCAATATACTGGGTTCAGACATGTTCAAGTGATCAGCTCATAGTTTATTAGTGATTCAGCAAGAGAAAGAAGACTGGAAATCCCTGACCCAAAGCCTGGCATTTACACCCAAAACACACCCCACTCCCAACGATAGGCTATTTACACTCTATTGTCTCCCAGTTGGTTTTCTCTAGGATCCCTGCCTGCCTACTGGTCCATTCTAAGATCCTAGCAAGCCACTGTTATGCGTCCTCAGCTAAGTCCTTTTGCAAGTACAGTTCAGGCTCAGTACATAACACCCCGTATATTTTTTTTAAACATGTCAGATTTTTCTGCATACCTAAGTAATGCCTCAAGTGTGCAGGAATTCCTGTTGAGCCTCCATGTGTCCCTAATTTGCGGAAATAAGTATCTGTACACACTGGGGACACTTGGCTATTGGTATATAGATCTGGCCTATGTTCTTCTTGCCCTTAGGGACTGACAGTGCTCTAGATGCACATCAGAGGTTCTAGTAACGAGGAACAGTTCCCTTGGCCTCTTGGTGATTTCTCTCTCTTCTTGACAAAGCAATGGGCCTAGTATTGTGGGTTCCCCTCTCTCAGAGAATTGTGTGATGCTGTCTCCTGGCACTGGAGTGACTGCATCTAGAATGAGATGGGGAGTGACTACAGAGGCAGCTACATTCACAAGATCTACATGGAGAAGCAGATTGATGTCTGTGGTGTCGCCTGCCCGAGCTCTTGACTCTGGAGTCGCTAAGGGACTGAACAGAGATACCAAAGGTAGAAGAACTCCTAGTCTTGGGAACTCCTCTGTACTCCTCTGTTGTATAAGTCTAAGTGGATGCTTCCTCTCCCTTCTCCCCCTCCTCTTGCTGTCTTGGGATCTTAGAGTGGGTAGCTTTCCTTGTGAGAGGCAGACCGAGAGGCCAGAAGGTCAGCAGTGTCCCGGGAGTATCTAACATTTCAGCATTTCAGATTTAATCAGTTGAGTCTAGTTCAAAATTATATTACTAGATCAGGTTGAAAACAATACATAAAGCTGCCTATTTGTATCCATCCCACATTGGCATTCCAAAAATCAGTACAACTGCAGACAGGTCAGATACTGGAGTAATAAGCAGATTGTATCTATACTGTATAGTCCAGTCTCCTCCTAATTCAGAGATCTGTATTTGAAGTGGGGTAAGAAGCTAAGGAAGTGGAGTTTAACTCCTCAGAAGCCTATTAAAATATCAATAGGGAAGATGGGGTTTTCCCCAGTTATTGCATCAACAGATACAAAATAATGAAGTCAGCAGTTCAAGGGGCAAGACATTTGCTTTGCCATTTGACTTATTTCCCAGCATAAATCAAGACAAAATGCAGTTCACTGATGCTAACTAAAGCCATATGTATACAAATGAGAAAAAAGAGGAAAGAATGTTTTGAATAAATTCTGGACAATGTTCAGAATAAATGCAAATCCTCATAAAATGTGCCGATTGAGACACTATGTATAAGCCATTGCATATTGTTAATACATTAAGTATTTAGGTTTAAATTCATCTTGTTAATATTATAATGCCACCTTTTCCCACAATCTGGAATGGGAAGACCCATTTTCAGAGAAACACTGATATGCTCAACCCACCATGATTCATACAAAAAACTTCAGAAAGACTCTGAATTGCCATTTACAGTTTAAAAACATTTTTAGCTTGTAACATGTGTTCTCTAGATTTAATTTTCAATTAGAAGACATTTTAGAATAAAAACATGAGGTGGGGGGAGTCCTCCTTGTTTGGTGATTTGGTTTTTATGGTCTCAAGATTGATAACCTGATGCTGAGGTGTACATGTTAGCAAGCTACACTCATCAACATAAGGGCTCAAATACACATTATGTTGCACAGATAAATATTTCTCAGTAAGGAATCCGAGCAAAGAATCCTTCCTGACATAGGACGCAGGAAATACTACCTGTGATAGCTACTGGTGTGTGGGGGGAATCATACGAGTATCTAACAACCCTTGCCTGTTGGGGCTGCACTCCAACCTATCTGAAGCCTGCTTGGGGTAAAAAAAGTAGATGGTAGTGTTAGGCCAGCACTGGGGGAGGTGTGGTGTTTATGTGGTGACAGCATAAATGTACTTCATTCAGGCCTTCCAGTTAGCCAGAGCCAAGCAGTAGTGGATCGGGGGGGGGGGGGGATTTTATCTGGCCTAGAAGACAACATCAGGTGATTGCTGTGCTAGATTGCTCAGGCAGCCACGCCCTGTCTCCTCTTGCTCTTTACTGAATGAGACCAGTCTGGACTATTTTTGTTTTTACATAGTCAGCCTTGCAAACACAGAGCTCTCCTGGGGGTTATCTGCTGCTGCAAAGGCAAGAAATCCAGAGATTTCCAGTGGTTAAACTTGGAGTTCCAGAGGTACTCCAGAGGAATGGCTGCCCTGCACCCTATAGTCTTTCCCTCTGGGGACAGTACAGCCAGGGCAGAGCTTCCATATCCCCTCAAATTCTGTTCAGGCAAGGCAGTTTAGCCATTCAGCTGAGAGTGAGTCAACAAGGCATACAGAGGAATCTTTTTGTTGGCCTCTATCCATTTTTGCCTCACAAAGAGCTTGCAGCTTTACAGAAGGTATGCTACAGAAGCCTGGGCCTTGACATGGAGATCTAAAGCAGCTTCCTAGAATGACCGCAAGGCTTCCTTGGGTGTGGCTCAGGTGAAATTCCTGGGTCTCTAATCTGGTCCTAGATCTGAGTCACTTGGAAGGCCTTCCAGAAGGCTTTCATCAACAAGTGGCAAAGCAGCAGCCAGAGGATGCCAAAGCACATTTGCGCACATGGCCTCAGGGCTTGGATAATTGGGTCTTCCACAACACATTCCATGTAACAGTAATCCAATAGTTCTGCGAATCAGGTTTTTCTCTTAGCCTTAAGGCTCAGCATGCAGCACATGATGCACTTGCATACGTGGGTTAAACAGGGCAGGGATCAGAACTCTGGATGGAGGTCGGGAGGAAACGCAGGTCCAGCCAGCAATTGGCCATGTCTGACAAGCAACAACCTACATGGATAACTGCATCAAGAGACAACTGCAACAAAAGCACGTGACAAGCAGAGCGTTCACCTCTTGGCTCTTTGTTGTATTAATTTTGCCTCTGTTTTTGCACTTTGACTTGCTTCAAGGCTGCTTCAATAACATTCGTGCACTGGGGTAGGTCACTGCCTCGCCACTTAGCCTACTTTTCAGGGTTGTTTTGCAGATAAAATGGGATAAATGGAAACCTGAGCTCTTTGGAGGAGGAGAAGCAATGTTCAGATATGATAAACGAGTGCTGATTTTTGTGAGAGGCCTGAGTCAGGTGGTATACCTCACATGAGAAAGCCCCAACCTAACCAACACACAAAATTAGAGACTCAGCTGAGTACCTGTTGCGCAGGAAGTCATTATTATAGTAAGTGCAGGATCCTGTCCTCCACCAGATGCACGCAGAGTCAATGAGTAAGCCGAAGAGGGCAGGAGACGGCAACCAAGCTTCAGAAGGATAGAGAATAAAAGATGAATTAGTTACTGCTGGTTATGCACAGACTACATCTCTTGGACTTGCATGCAGGCTACCCAAAAGACACTGAGGTCTGATGCAGAACTACTATTCCCATCCCAGGGAAAACCAAAAAAAAAGGTAAGAGCTTAAATCTGAGACAGGGCTAAGTTCTGGATTCTGGATGTGAAGTTTTGGATGCATCAGGGGCAAAAACTGCAGTGTCACCATAGCACAAAAAGAGCTCTCTGCTGGATCAGACCAAAGGTCTATTAAGTCCAGCATCCTATTTCCCACAGTGGACAACCAGATACTTGGGGAGAAATTCTAAAGCACAGCATGAGGGCAACTACAGTCCCTTAGCAGTTGGGACGCAGATGTAGACAGTCTCGAAATATAAATGTTTCATTTAATCATCATGGCTGAAAGCTATAATGGACCTCTCCTATATGACTCCTCTTCTGAAGCTAGAGCTGGCTGCCAGCATGGCATTTTGTAGCAGAGAAGTCCATATGTTAATCATGCACTGTGTGGTGATGTACATTCTATTCCTGTCCTGAATGTCCTGCCCACCATTGTTACTCAGTACCCCAAGTTCTTCCACTGTAGGAGAAACAGGTCCTTCCATCCCATGCATTATTTTGTAAACCTCTTATGTTTCCCTGTTGTCATCTTTTCGAAAATAAGAAGCCCCACCTCTGCTTTCTCAGCTAATGGGGGAACACTGATTTATATTTAGACATGGTAATTAGTTAAAAATAAGACATTTGCAGTTCACTTAAGACATAAATCCATGCTATGGAATCCTGCACATTTTAATTTTTATGACATTAAAGACAGGTTGCAAGGTACATGTACGCTGAAGTCAAATTGGTTTCTTTAAGAGACAAGACAACCACATAAATGTAAGTATGGAGCAAGCGCACCTATCAAACATCACTTAATATTTTACTAAAGAAGGTACACGTCAATGAAGACAACTAGGTCTTTTGGCTGGGAAGAAGAGAGTGATAGCTAATGAGAGTTTTTACACCCCTAGCCCCTCGCACACAAACAAAAATATATGTATTTTCCAACTTAGCTTACATAGACCATGGCTCCTAATGGGAAGCCATGGTTTATGCAGTCACCTTGTGAAACCAGAATGTGACTTCATCTCCTTTGCTCTGGCCAGGTGGCTCTGCAGCTGGGGAGGGCATGAGGCCGTTGCCAGCCAGCAGGTCTGCCCTCATGCAAGGCCCAAGACGAACAGTGGTTAACAAACCAATCAGACCACTGTTTCAGATCCTGCTTTGACTAGAACCTAACTAGCCATAGCTGGTGGTGTGGCCTTGCATCCAGAGAATTTACACTAACCACAATTAATTTAATTAAGCCATGCTTTTTGCACAGTGTCTGAGCATACTATGTAAACTACACATTCTGAGTTGCCGGCTGCTAGAACAAGAGAGATATTCAGGTCAGGCAGGCACTTACCTAGCAATCTCATCAATAAGAACTGGACTCCAATGGCAAAGGACTTTTCATCATAGCTCACCACTCTGTATAGGATAAAAACACAGCACATCAGACATGCAAAAGTCAGTTACAGCTCCAGCCAAAAAGAACAGCTAACAACCATGATTACTTTGGGGGGTTGTTACACAAAGAGGCGAGGTTCTAAAGCTGGCATCTGTTTCAAATAATAAAGCCAAAAATGGGCCCATATGAGTGATGCCAAGGCTTTCTTGGTAGCAGCACTTCAGCTGGAGGATGTTCTAAGTCAAGCCAGCTGGTGTCCAATGCTCCTCACTTTTAGAAAAGGAGTTAAAATATATGTAGGATTTCATTACTTTTTCCCATGTTGATAATTCCAGTGGTTTAATTCTATTTTTTAAAAAACAAGCCTTTTCTTTTTAAGCATGTTATGGTTAGAAAGCTGGGAGAACATATGGGAACAGATAGCTCACACATCTCCTAAACTGGAAGAGGACTTTATTGTAGAGTAACTTTGCAGGGGTCAGTTCTTCTGTTGCACCATGTCTGCTGGCTCCAAACCTTTCCACTGCTTACCGTAACACCATCATGTAGACAGGGTTTTGAGTCAGGCAAGCTACCAGTGAAGCAAATGAGATTAGGAGTACAACAGGAAGCAGCAAATGGGCACAGCTAATCGGGCAGGAGTCTGCCTTCGCTGAGGATTGTCCAGCTGCCACACGGATACAGGAGCAGTTTGTGTACATCTGGTAGGAACGGAAGAAAAGAACGTCAAACTCATCTCACGGAAATCAGTCTTGCCTTTGTATGGCTTCCATGGCTCTAATAGGCCCTTGTTCTTCCCTGGACAAGGAGGAGGCATCTTGTGGCTGCCAAAGGCCACAAAGTAGGTTGGCAGGAAGAGGGAAGGTAATAGAACGTGCACAGTCCCACTGCAGTAGCACAACTCGGCTGACAGGCTATGCTTTTAAACTTGCAAACCTTATTGCAAAATCTGAGGCTCGGCTCATTCTGAATGTTTGGGGCAGGTGACAATCATTTAAATACAGGCAAACATGCAGGGCTTTTTTGTAGAAAAAGCCCAGCAGGAACCCATTAGCATAATAGGCTAAACCCAACTAGGGCTGCCAAATGCCCCCGGGGGGCAGAATTCCCCCCGCTTTCGAGCCCCGATTTCCGTTCCCGTGGAATCGGGGCCCAGGGGAAACCCCACCCCCGTGTGCGCGTCACCCAGAAGTGATGTCGCACGCTGGGGGCGGGGCCACGCTATTTGAGGGGAAAACAAAGAGTTTTCCCCTCAAATGGCATGGCCCCGCCCCCAGCGTGCGACGTCACTTCCGGGTGGCGCGCATGCCTAAGACGCCGGCTGGGAGCCCCCCACTCCCGGCCAAAAAACATTTGGCAACCCTAAACCCAACAGCAGAAACTCATTAGCATAATAAGCCACAGCCCTGACAGCACAGCTCATTAGCATATTAGGCCACACACCCATGTTACCAGAAGTGTGGTCATCCAGCCATGCCCACCTTTTGCTTCTTATTTTGTTGACCTTGATTGTGGTCAAAACCCAGGGCATTTTTTGTAGCAGGAACTCCTTTGCATGACATTCCTGCCCAAAAATAGCCCTGCAAACATGTAAAATGAATAGAAAAGGAGTTTATGAGTTGTTCTCTCTCTCTCAAGAGTTAGTGTAGTTGTTAGACTGGTGGACAAGGACTGGGGAGAAGTTTCAGTCCCTATGCATTTATGGTGCTCACTGGGTGAATATGCACCAGTCAGGTTCTCTCAGGTTGCCACCCTCCAGGTGGGGCCTGGAGAGCTCCTGCTTTTACAATTGATCTCCAGACCTCAGAGATCAATTCCCCTGGAGAAAATGGCTGCTTTGGAGGGTGGAGTCTATGGCATTGTACCCTGTTGAGGTCCCTTCCCTCTCCAGGCTCCACCCCCAAATCAGCTGGTATTTCTCTTTCCAGAGTTGGCAACCCTAATTGGTAACCCACCTAATGGGGCTAGTACAAAAATAAAATGGGGAGGAGGAGAAGGAAGAGACCATGTAAGCTACCCTGCGCTCCATGCAGAAAGGGCATGATAACATGAGAGAGAGAGAGAGAGAGAGAGAGAGAGAGAGAGAGAGAGCGCTCATAAGGTTGCTGGGAAATCAACTGGCATTATTTCACTTTTTAAAAACTATTTTTGTCCTAAACAATTTGGTGAACAAATGCTGAAGTGACTGAATATTCATGCCATGCTTTTTAAAGTCTTTAAAACAGTCCGAGAGCCTGCATGAAGCAGGAGAGGAAGGGCAAGGCAGATTACCAAGTCAGCATTTGATTAGTTGATTAGTACATCTGTCAAATGGGGTGCAAGGGGGAGGGGGAATCTGGGCTTGAGATAGGTAGCTTGAAAAGACGCTGATTTCAAGGTATATCTGCAGGCAGTCTAAATGCTAATACTCACCCAGCTTAATCTCAGTCATTACAAAAAAAAACCCTTCCTGAATATGAAATGGTTTTAATAGGGTTTCTAAAAAAAAATTGCTTGCACATGCTTACGATATTCTAATTGGCCACACAGAGGATGTTAATGAGGGTGTGAGGCACACACAGGTTTAAATGAAGGAATTTGGCAGTAGAGGCTCAGAATGGAACTTTACTCTTCACTGGACCATCAGCAGAGGAAAAGGGGTGGTCTGATCCTTGGTGCTCTTCAGCATCACCCTGACAATGACAGACATTCACTTGCAGTGTCCTGCAGCTCTGCCTCAAAGCAGGATTAGATGTCCAGGGAAGCCAACAAGAGCCCCCTGCTGGCCTTTTATAGAACTGTTGCCTTAGGTTTGCCTCCCTGATCTGAGCAACAAAGCAGCCCGAATACCTGCTCTAGAGACTTCTCACCTCACCTCACTTCACTGGAAGCTCTGCCCAAGCCCTGTCTGAAGCTTTTGCCCTTCTGGAAGCTCTGTCTGAACTGGACTAACTGCCTCCTGACTATGCACTCAGCCAGCCCCTTGGAGCTATGAGCCCTGAAAAGGCCCATTTAAACTCATTTTAAGGATTGTATGGGGCATCAGGAAAGAGTTTCTCTCTTAGATTTTTTATTTTATTTTATTAGACTTCTATTCTGCTCCATTCCCTGTCAAGCAGGGCTCAGGGCAGCTTACAACAATTAAGATACAATACTTCAGCATATTACAATTTTAAAATCCACGTTATTATAAGTTAAAAGCTAAAGACTTCTTTACTACATCAGATGGCATCCTAGTATCTGTCACAGGTGGACCAGTGGGGGCAGCCAGTACAGAGAAAGAAAAGGGGAAAGGGGGAGAGAAGGGGAAAAGGGAGGCCAGAAGATCTCTCTAACCATTGCTGTCCTCAACTATATGCCTGGTGGAATATCTTGGATTTAGAGGCCCTGCGGAATTGAACCAAATCCCACAGGGCTTCCCAGTCCCACAGGGCTTGAGATTCACTAGACATAGAGGTCCACCAGGTCGGGGCCAGGGCTGAAAAGCCCTGGTCCTGGTCAAGGGCAGATGGACTGTTCTAGGGCCAGGTATCACTAATAAGTTGCTACCGGAAGAGTGTAAGGCTCTCTGAGGGGTGTATAGGGAGAGGCAGTCCCAAAGATATGATGGTCCCCGACCATTTAGGGCTTTGAAAGTAAGAACCAAAATCCTGAACCTGATTCAGTATTCAATCTGGAGCCAGTACAGTTCGTAGACTACAGATTGTATATGTGTTCTCAGGGGGTCCCAGTAAGGACCTGTGCCACCACATTCTGGATCACTTGAAACTTCCAAAGCAAATTCAAGGGCAGTCCTGCATAGAGCAAGTTACAGTGGTCTAGTTTAGAGGTGACTGTTGCATGGATCACTGTGGCCAGGTCCACACAGGATAGCTAAGGAGTCAGTTGCTGGGCTTGGCAAAGATGGAAAAACACAACTCTGGCTATATTTGTGACTTGAGCCCCTAATGAAAAGGAGGCATATAGGATCACAACCAAACTCTTAATGGAGGGAGCTGATATTAGCTGTCCTCTGTCAAGAGTGAGAAGCTGAATTCCCCGGCCTGGACCACCCCGGCCTAGCCACAGGACCTGTCTTGGATGGGTTCAGCTTCAGACAGCTCTGCTTTAACCATCCCACCACAACCTACAAACCACTGGCCAGATCTTCTGGGATAGTATCTGTCCATTAATAGATACAGGTGGGTGTCATCTGCATATGGATGATACCCTAGCCCAAATCTCCTAACTGGGCGAGAGGACACATATAGATATTAGACAAAATTGGGGAAAGCATTGCCCCCTGAGGGATTCCGAAGACCAGTGGGTGCTGTGATGAGACCCTCTCACCTAGCATCACCCTTTGTTCCTGCCCTTAGAGAAATGAACACAGCCATTGAAGGACTGTTCCATGTAATCCAATGGCGATGAAGCGGTGGGTCAACAGGTCATGGTCAACAATGTGAAATGCTGCTGAAAGATCCAACAACAGCAGCAGCACAGACCCGCCTCAATCCAGTTGTCCATGGAGATCATCTGCAAGGGCTACCAGCACCATCTCCATCCAATGGCCTGGATGGAAGCTGAACTGGAATGGGTCCAAGGCCGATGTGTCCTCCAGGAAAGCCTGTAGCTGTTCTGCCACCACCCACTCAACCACCTTAACCAGGAATGGAAAGTTTGAAACAATTGAGCTGGGTGAGAACTTGTGGCTACAGTGGAGACTGCATAGTAAACTTTCTTTCTGGCCTTCATCACCATCTCATAGGATCTCATAAACGTCCTATAGTATGTTCTTGTAGCTTCATCCTGAGTGCAATGCCAAACTTGCTCTAGTCATCTAAGCTCCCGCTTCATCTCCCTTAGCTCCGAGGTCTACCCAGGGGCTAGTTTCGAGTTGGGGTGAAGAGGACATTGGGGAGTGACCTCGTTGATGGCCTCCAAAAGGTATTTACACCAACCTTTTTGTATAAATACCATTTGGTATTTACCTACATCAAACACCTACATAAAAAATATAATGTCACCAGGGGGTGTCAGATCCTGCAGAGCATTCTGGAAACCAACTGGATCCATAAGTCTGCTTGCCGCCTATGAAAGGGAGGACTGATATGTCCAGACGAGCCTTCAGGGCAAAATGGTCAGACCATGGCACTCTATCCATGGAGATCTGGCCAATCTGTCACACCCACCACAAAGAGCAAATTTAGTGGGTGTCCTGTGTGATGTGTGGGACCCAATACAACTTGGAAAACTCCTAGATATGCTGAATGCAAATCTAAGCCATGCTGAATGCAAATCTAAGTCAATGTCCAGCATTTTGTCTGGGAGACAATGGAAAGTCAGAGAGAAATGCCTCTATGACAGACCTAGAGAAACTGCCTTTAGTCACAAGGACACAAGAACACATGAAATTGCCTTGTACCAGATCAGACCATCAATCCAATTAAGTCATTATTGTCTACTGAGACTGGCAGTGGCTCTCCAGAATCTCAGACAGAGGTCTTTCACATCCCCTACTACCTCATCCTTTAAACAGGAGATGTCGGGTACTGATCCTGGGACCTTCTGCATGCCAAGCAGATGCTCTACCACTGAGCCATGGCCACTCCCTAAATCAACTGGCTCACTGAGGCCTATCTACTCCATTATTAAGGACTCAACCTGAGAACCTGGTGTGCTGCTGCCATTCAGAGGGTTTTTTAAAGCAGGAGATGCCAAGAATTGCCTTGGACATTTTGTATGTGAAGCGCATGTTCTCTTACAAGGCCAGGGGCCCTCCCCTCATAGTCCTCCGTTATTCCCAGCAAACAGATGGTGCTTCAACAGAAAATGTCACAATGGCCAAACAAGCCTGTAACAGATGTCATCTAAAGCCGAGGTCAAACTATTTCTATTTATATATTTAATATGCCACTTTTCTCCTCAGTGGGGACCATAAAGCAGCTTATATTGTTTTCCTCTCCTACATTTTATCCTCACAACACTTCCTTGTGGGGAAGGTTGGGCTGAGAGTGTCTGACTGGTCCAAGATGAGCCAGCAGGCTTCCATGACAGAGTGGGGATTCAAACCTGGATCTCTCAGATCCTACTTTTACACGCTTACCACTATACCACATTAGTTCTCATATGGCTATCCACTTGGCTGTTCTCCCATCCTCTCCACAACCTGAATAGCCTCGCTCCAGCGTCATTTCTTACCCCCCCCCTTTCACTTTAAAGCTCATGAAGTTAAACCAGTAGCCACTAAAACTTCCACATCCTCTTCCTGGACCCTGAAGATCCCATTAGGGCTACATACCATAACCACATCTTGAGAAGAACTTGTGATGAAGCCAGTACAACCTGCGTGGCAGGGAGAGGTGTATTCCACACCATCATCTCCACAGATGGGGTGGAAGATAGAATCAGAGCAGAAGCAATGTTTGTTGCATTCATTCTGCATTGAGGAACTTGATGTTCTGCCAGGAAAAAAAAACACACACCAGACAAAATGAAATGAAACTAAGCAGGATGAGTGACAGATATTTTCTTGCACATGTTGGGTGATTAACTTCCTTTCCCCCAGTCTCTGCTGTTGTTGGGTTGTTGCCATTCAGAAGCCTGGCCTCCTGCCTACAACCCTCCTGCAGGTATCTCTGAAGTTTTCAGCGAACTTGGTTTCAATTATTACCCACATACGTATGCAAACACCTTGGATGGGAAACCAGCCATCCAATGCCTGGAGTAATCTACCCAAGCACTTCACTGGAAACCACTGAGCACCCAAAACGCAAGAAAGAAAAAGAAGAAAAGAAAAACTTGAAGCTGGGAGCATTGTAGGTGCAAACTGCAACCTGAGTATAAGATTACACCTTAAGGTAGTGCTCTGTTTGCAAGAGCAATGACCTGTATAAGCCAGTGCAGTCTATCTTGACTTACAAAAGTGGGAGTTCTTTTCCTTGCTCTTATCCAATAGGAACTATCAAGGGTTGAACCTAGAAACAATCACCTTGAACAAACACCACTAGTCTAAGCCTCACTGAAATATCATAGGAAGTATCTGAAGGTTTGTCAGGCCTCTTTGGCATTAAGAAAAAAATTTGTGAATGAATGAGATCCTGACTGTGCTCCACTGCCTATGTGCTTACATCCCTGAATGGGAGATCACAGAAGCCAAAATCAAGATGTGATCTTCATGCAATAAACTCCCTTAATTAATAGCAACCTGGAACCTTATTTTAAATAGATATCAGCATGTCTACAATAACCACTCTGTGGGAGAACTGTCATCACAAACAGAATGTGGAAGCTAAATTGTTTCACTGAGCATAGCATTCATTTCATATTCAGACTGCTGTCATCCTAATTCTGGTTCACCCCTGTGGATTGCAACTGAGAGTATAGAAATCATCACTGACAGAGGCAGGGACTTTTTTCTTGGGACATTCCCACACTCACAGTGAGGCATCAGCATGCAGACACCACAACCTGCACTACAGGGGACTCTTGGCAGTGAGAAGAACAACATGGCTAGATTTGTAAAAAAAAACCAACAACCCTGTGTAGTACTGGAAAGCAAATACTGTACATAGAAGCAGTCTACCTTTTCCCTCAGAGAAGATAACAGAGAGGAGAGAAGATAACAGAGAGGAGAGGGTAGAGAGACCCAGAGGTAGTGCATGCTGGGGGATGAAAGGGGAGGAGTCAAAAGAAAGGAGAAATTATTCAGAGTGGAATGTTGGTAGATAGATTGGAGGGGAGGAGGGAGATCTTCACCCCAGATTTGAGAGCACCCCTAAACTTACAGTTTTCCACCGTATCTCCTGAGCATAGACCACATTACCTGTGGGGATAAATTCCAGCCACTGTCTTTGTGGAGCAGCCCATAAAGAAGAGAGGAAGGCAGGAAAGCACGGAGCAGAGCAGCACAAAGATGGAGAACCGTGGGATGGTTTTCAGGGAGAAGCCAAAATGCTTCATGAGGATGCCTCCAGACAGCATTCCCAGAGCAGCAGCAGGCAGGTTGATGATTCCTGCAAAAGTTGAAAGAGGCTCTGAGCTGATGGAGAGAAAAAACCCTCTGGGCAACAGAAGGAAGCCAGCCTTGCAACCAGGCACAGAGGGAACGATGCACCCCATTGCCTAGCGAGGGTATCCCTCATCATGTCTTTGTACACAAGTAGTGTCTGCAGCTGGGGGTCCTGGGCACTGTGCTGGAGGCTGCTCACAAGTCACAGAATACCCAAGTGGGAGCATCTCTTCAGGGAAGGACTCCGCATGAATCCTGGGGTCACAGAGCTAAGTGCAATGATTCCACATGGATGCAATTCAGTATGTGTCCCTAAATGGGAAACTGCAGCTAATCTCCAGAGGCAAAGAGACGCATCAGGCGGGGGGAGAAAGATAGTTCTTTTCCCGGCCCAGCTTGGCCACACAATGACAGGGAGCATATGGGGAGTGGGAAAGCAGTGTTTATAGAGTGCTCTCCAGCCAGCAGTGTAGTTCTAGGCCATTGCTGCCATTAGCAAGAGAAGAGGAGCACTAGGTTCCCCCCCTTCCCCCATCTGCTATACCAAAGAACACTTAGCTGATCTCTCCTGTTTCAAAGGGTTTGATTCCCTATCAGAGCAGGAATGGGTTTAACCCATTGACACAGCAAAGTTGGTGCATTAGCTGGGCAAAATTTCATAGTGGCTTTTTAAAAATCTTATAGAAGAAAAGGGAAAACTTTGATTGATTCTCAGCCAGGATGGGCAGAAGTGCCTCTTACTCACACTGCTTCTCACAAAATTACAGTGCTGTAAATGTAATCACAACAACTTCTTCAATGGAATACGGGGTTTTTTTTAACTTCAAGGGCAGGGAAAGTTACAAACCACATATTTTTAAAGATTTCTTTTTATTTACTTAATTTATACCCACCTTTCTCCCCAACAGGGAACCTAAGCAGCTAACATTGTTCTCCTCTCCTGCATTTTATCCTCACAACAACCCTGTGAGGTAGGTTAGGCTGAGAGTGTGGACTGACCCAGGGTCACCCAGCAAGCTTCCATGGCACAGTGAGGATTCCAACTTGGGTCTGACAGATCCTAGTCAGAAACTCTAAACATTATCAACTGTTTTTCAGAGCATAACGCCTAGCGTGGTTAAGGGACATCCTTTTACCTATGGCACACAGAACCGATGAAGCCAAAGGGCTACCTGTCCCATTTTGACCTCTCTATGCCCCATCCCCACCCTTATGAGATGCCCAGTCAGAGTGACATGAGCCACTGGCCACCATCTGATACTAAGACAAACTGAATCCACCATCCTCAGGGCCGTAGGTGTGCCCTGTCCACAGCTTCTTACAGAGAAAAGATTTGTGCTGTGCATAAATCAGACTGTCAGTCCAGAACCATTCGTGTGCTCTCTCACCTATGAGGAAGTTTGCATAGGAAGAACTGGCCCCAAACTGTTTCTCCAGGTATTTGTTGAGGAAGGTAGCGAGGCCAGAGATGACTGAGGAGAAGCAGCACTGAGCTAGAACCAGCAATATGAAGAGTGGATTGAGAATCAGCCTGAGGAAGCCTTGAGGGAACTCTGAAACACAAGAGAACAGAATGGGGCAGAAAGGTTAGAGAGAGAGGAAGCAGTGAATGATAGCATCCTCTCAATTTTAAAAAAGCCCTCTCTACTGAGTCTTGGCAGGATTCTACAAATGATGCTGGTTGCATTAGAAAGCCCCATAGGAAAGACTGGAATTCTTTTCTTCTTGGGCCAGACTTTGCACATGTAGTAACCTGACACTGGTCTCAAAAGTCAGTCATCCTTCGCTAGATTGATTTAGGTTTTTTCCTTGCCTTCTGCTAACTGTTGAGGGAAGGGTCACTTATGCAAAAAAGTAAGATCTAAAATCTCTTTGAAACAGAGAGCCAAAATATTTCAAGAACTGATTATAGCAGAGTGTGATGGAGATTATAGCAGGAAACTTGCAAGGAGAGCATGATGGAAACCATTATTCACCTGGGTTTCTAGTATCTGGTAACTCTAAGATATCCTGCCTTCCAGAACTAAAACCCAGACAAGACCAAATACGTACTCCATCACTGAGCTATGGGTGTCTCCTCCAAATATGCTTCTCTCCTCTACCACTACTTCCTATGCTTAAAAACGTTTTATTCTGGGTATAAGCTTCTGTGTGCATGCACAGTTCAGATAAGAAGGGTATCTGAAGAAGTGCACATACACACGAAAGCTTCTACCCAGAATAAAACCTTGTTGGTTTTAAAGGTGCCACTGGACTCAAACTTTGCTCTAATTCCAGACCCAGGACTCCCAAACATTTTGGGATAATGCTCAGGAGGGATGGGCACAAACTGGGAAAATGTGGTTTGGATTATAGAGTTCCTGGTTTGTGAACCACAAACCATCATGAACTTTTAGAGGCAAAACAAACTGCTTTGGCTCATGAGGTTTGTGACATGGTAACCCCTCCTCCAGCATTCTAGAGTCACCAAACTCGCAGGAGATCTCTGGCTGGCTCTCCTCTAGCTGTCCTCTACGTTTGGTGAGGATTGGATTTACGAGGTCTGAGTTACACCCCCCCCCCAAGGATACCCCCAGGAAAGTGCTTTCTGATATTTGGATCCAGAATTTTTCAGAATCCTGATTTTTTCCGGGTCTAATAGATCCAAGAAGAAAAATACCAGTAACACCCCCCAGCCCAATCCTGGGGCTCACTTGGCTTCTCCTGCAGCGAGGTTTAAACTGTGCTGCAGAAGAAGCTGGCCCCAGGATTTGCTGTGCCGCAGCTAGCAGATTATTTCCACGCAGCACAGCAGCTTCTAAGGCTGGCCTCTCCTGCAGCTCAGTTTAAACTGGGCTGCACAAGATGCCAGCCCCAATCCGAGCCAGTGGGAATAGTCTGCTCCTGGTGGCATAGTTGATCCTCAGGCTGTCTTCTTTAAAGGGACTGGAATAGAAGATTGACAACCAACTGAGAGGTGGGAGCAAGATGGTCCTGCCTGTCTGCTGCTTTCGGATCTACTGGTAATTCCCAAATATATCCAGGATTTTCTCTAGATCCCCCCCCCTCCCGGTTTCCCTGAGAAAACCCAGATACATTTGGGAAGCTGAAATATACCGAAAAATACCAATATGAATCCTGATTTGGTATTTTTGAATCCTGATATGGTATTTTTGGGTATATTTTTGGCTTGGGTAGATCCGAATGAACACCCCTACTAGTTGCGCAAGGCTGACTCAACCTCTCTTGCATAGCCATGAGTCCTGAGTCCACCTAACACCCAAACCCCAGCAGGGGAGAGGAGTTCACAATCAGGAATAAATGAGTGTGGTCTGCTTTCAACCAATTCCTCGCCTCTCTTTCTAACTGTGAACAGCCAACAGAGGTGAAGCTGTGGAGCTGAGCTGATATATAGCATTCTGATCCTATAGAGCAGAATGGGAACTCTGTTATTGGCAGCCAGCTATGCCTGTTAAGCTTTGGAGGGCTCCTATTTCCAAGGCTGGAAAAATCTATCCTCCTGTTGCTTTGAAGTTTTGTGAACAGTTTAATTGAGTGGAGACAGCCTGTTTGGAAACGTATCAATTCATAAACGTATCAGTTCAAAAACTGCCATGAACTACCACAAACAGCATGAAAATTAATGAAATATCCATGCACATATGCACAGATACCCTTCCATGCACACTGCTTTGTGAATCATGACCCTGTCAAAATTTGTGACAAACTTTAGTTTGTGAGCCAGTTTGTGCCCATACCTAATGCTCAGACTTTGGTGGATCCCAAAGGAGGAGGGATTCCAAATTTATGTAGCAGACAATGAGAGTGCTCTCCAGGAGCAAATGCAGGCACACGTAGCATATGCAAAAATGACTTCCAGACCAATCTTAGAAATTGTGAAAAAAAACCAAAGTTATGCTGGGGCCTTGAGGCATGGTTAGTTGTAGAAAATTATGATCCATTAATGCAATCATTCGGCAAATATTAGCTATAGAAAAAGTGCTTGGAAATCTTGCACAGGCAAGTGACTGCTGGTCAGTCCTGTACACATGTCCAGCCATGCACAGATTACAACTTCTGGTTTGCCACTGCAAACAGTGATTTTTAACTGCTTGTGGAGACATGTCAAATGCTTAAGGCCACTTGTGGCAGCAAATAACTGCCTAGGACAGTAAAAGCAACATCCTAAGCAGAGGTCCACCCCTTCTAGGCCCATGAACTTAAAAGTTACATTTAGAACTGCAGCCTCCTGGGCTATCACGGCCTGAAATACCCTTTTCACCCCCATTTCAGCATTTTCTATTTTTTCTGCACATACAGCCTGATGAGGAGTTCTTCTGTGGAACTCATCATGAACACATGAAGCTGCCTTATAACGCATCAGACTATTATCCTATTAAGGTCTGTATTGTCTCTGTCTGGCAGTAGGTCTCCAAGTGTCAGACTCATCACCTACAACCTAATCCTTTTAACTGCCTTGGATAGAAGCTGGGACTTTATGCATGCAAGGCAAGTGATCTACCACTGAGCTAGGGCTACACCTTACTTGCAATTTTTTAAACAACCCATAAAAGGCATTACACTGCTGTTGCTTTTGGATTTTTTAAAAATCAGCTGCATAGTTACCTGTAATTTTGTTTATTTTGCAAAAATCTGTACTAAGGGGCAAACTACAAGTGACAAATTTTGGTGATTTGGAATGCAAGTTTGGTGAGTTGTTAAAGATCATAGTGACTCTAGTATTAAGGTTTAGGAATGTCTGGTGGTGTCTATGGCATTGTACCTGTTTGAGGTCCCATCCCCCTCAAACCCCACCCTCTCCGGGCTCCACCCCTCAAATCTCCAAGAATTTCCCAACTTGAAGGTGGCAACCCCATCTTCTTCCCAGTCTACCATCAACATAACTTTATCTGCCCCTCTGACTTCAGCTTTCCATCTCCCCTCCCCCGCAGCCTCTACTTAGGAAAAGTACAGTCTTCCTCCGCAGTGGGGACCCAAGCAGGAGGGAAGTGACCTCAGCAGGGTATAATGAGTGACACAGAGTTAACCCTGTAAAGCAGCCGTTTTCTCCAGGGGAACTGGTCTCTGCCATCTGGTGAGCAATTTTAATTCTGAGTGATCTCCAGCCTCACCTGGAGATTGGCAGCAATGGTTCCCCCAGGAGAAAATAACTGCTTTGGAGGGTGGACTCTATGGCATTCTGTTCAGCTGAGGCCTCTCCCATCCCCAAACTCTGGCTTCCATAGACTCCACCACAAAATATTCTGGAATTTCCCAACCTGGAGCTGGGCAACCCTAGTTCCCCACAAAAACCAAAGTAGGCCTGGAAAGGGCTTCCTGCCTTTGCCTTTTTACTAACAGTACCAAGCTTGGTTGCCTAGCAACAGCCACTGAGGGCAAAGTTAGCCCCACAGCAGGAGGAGAAAAGAATGGTTTGAGGGCCGGTGGCCCATCTCAGTAGCCAGTCAGCCGCAGAGGAGCCATGCAGGAGAAGCATCTTTGTCAGGAGAGACTGCTGTTTTGGCAGTTTATTCTGTCAGGGAAGACCAGGCTGAAAGTAGGTGGGGGAGAGGAGCAGACCCAGCCCCCAGCCAATGGCACACAAGTACTCTTGAGTAGCAGTTGACAGTCCATTGGCTGATGGACTGCACAGCACAGCCAATGGGACAGCCTGAAACTGCCAATATGCTGGAAATATATATATATATATATATATATATATATATGATTTTCACAGCCACATGGATATTTGCTAAGAACTGGAAGGAAAAAAGGCCCAAAATTCGTGACTGGTTGTTGAAAGTAAGAGAATGGAACTTGCAGCAAAGCGTGACAAACATGGTCCTTGATTTCACATGGTCTTGTACCTGTTATGTATATTATTTTTATTATGTGCATCTTTTAATGGTATTACATACATTTTAAAAACCTTGTAAACTGTAGTTTGACCCTTAACAAAAGCAATTCAAAAAAATGCTGTCTCATATTTCTCTACATAGAAGCAAATTTTTGTAGCACAACCACCTAATCAGAAAGTTGGAATAAGAATCTTACTTTTAATAAATTCCCACAGGGATACTTCTTCAGCTTTTGCTTTCTCAATCTTCTTCAAGGTGTCCACTTCAGATTCTATCTGTGGGGTGAGGAGCAGGGAAAATGCTTTGTATGCAGACAACAAGCAGTGATGAACTGTTAACATTGCCCAGGTGAAAGGGGACCCTGGGAACTATGGTAAAAACAGTAGCATCAAACCACACAGAGCAAGCAAGTTATGGGGGATGTAGATTCCAGGACAAAGGCAGATCCAGAGAATGACAACCAGCCTTTCTTCTGCTTCACCCATTTCTGTCCATACAGTAAAACTCCGCTTTCACTTCGGATCACACACAATAATATTATGGGATGGCTGAGCACTTTCTCCCCATTCTGCTGTAGCAGAATCAGAACTGCAGTAAATGCATGGGATAAGCACAGAAGCTGATAGTACTCCCCACAATTTCTTTGTGGCTGGGGGAAACATTTATAAGCTGCATTTTCTGCTGCAAATGGTAACCATAGCATGTTTTTTTTCATCCCATGTGCTCATTCTTTAGCCAAAGAACAAGAAGGTAAAACTTCATTGTCAAAATGACTTGATCTTGGAGAACCACAATGACACAAGGCCCCACATCCTGTGGCAAGACACAGAGTTAAATTACAGGCACTTCTTTCATCCAAGAGAGTTTCTACCCAATGGAAATCCAAACCTAGTTTACAGTATGAGCTATCATGCTCAAGCATAATGGAGTCTTACTTTCCTAGGAACACAGGAAGGCTTTTCTTTCACAAAGATTATGGTAACTGTCGAGCCCCAATAACCTAGGAAGCTACTATTTAGAAGAAAAAGAACTAGAGGGAGTCCTGGCTCAGGCAGCCTGCAACCTAGAAAGCAGACAAATTGGGCAAAGTCAGGCCTAATCCAGGACATCCCAAATGGCAAAAGGAGAGTGAAACAGACTCTCTTCTGTGCAACAAGTGAGGTCTGCCAAAGGATCTTTTCCCCTTACTAGGCTTAGGCTGCTGTTTTGGATCAGGCAAGTGGCCGCCTACCTGCTCTATCATAGTTATAGTTCAAAAGTCTTAGCTCCAAACTAGTCCCTGAGACTTACCTTCCCTTTGATCATATATCGAGGAAAGAAGAAATAGGGAATGGATGCGAGCACCAAGCAACCTGAGGCAATGAGGAGTCCCAACCACCATGCACCAATCCAACGCTGGTCTCCAGGATGCAAGTCTATAGTCTCTGGAAGACATAGGGAAGAAAGGATGAAGCCCAATGAATCAACATCCTGGTCTTTAGATGGTTTGCATTACATTTTGTTCCACTACAATTGGAAGGATGTTCTTGGCTGGTATCACAGATAACTCTACGTTCTCCATGCAATGTCTTCTCTCAGTGTTCTCAGTGTCTTCTCTTCATTTCTTATCAGGTAGGAAACAGACAACAAGGATTTCCACACACGGATGTCCATTTCCCCATACAGTCAATCCACTTTACAAAAGGTACACTCCAGTCTACTTTGGATTTCCTACAAGCCCGAGCACAGCCAGGCCATGCATTCTATTTACTGCACTGGCCTGCAGGCTGGGACAAATCCTGTTTGGAAGTTATTGTAGACCTTGATGTCTGGCTACTGATAATCTGGCCATATTTAGCACAAGACCTATACTGAAATTATAGGATTGGTAGCTGCGGTGAGGCCCTTACCTGGACAGCCCAGGCTAGTCCAATATCATCCAATTTCTGAAACTAAGCAGGGTTGACCCTGGCTAGTATTTGGAAGGGAGGCCTGCAAGGAATACCAGGGGCATGATCCCAACACAAGCAGTGGCAAACCTCTGAACATCTCATGCCTTTAAAGGCCTGTGGGGTCACCATAAGTCAGCTGTGACTTGACAGCAAAAAGAAAAAAGAAAGAAAGAAAGAAAAAGCTGCGGTGAGAATTTTAACTGAGTGATTATATTTCTCTGTATCAATAATCACAATAAACCTTTGTACTGGGGAAGTAGTTGGCTTTCTAGAATGCCTTCAAAATACACATGGAGAAAAATGCTTTGCAAATACAGGAGAGAACTATTCTATAGGGCTGAGATGACTGAGCTGATTCTACCATGAAGCCAACTGAGGCAGTTGCCACTTAAATAAGATTCTAATGGCAGGGTGGTGGTTGCAAGTATGAAGCTGGCCTGGCAGTAGCACTGGCCAAGTTCAGAGCCAGCATAGACTCACCTCCGAGCATTGGTAGGCCACTTGCTGTTAGCAACTCCCACCAGAGTTAGGATTGGTCATTTGAAAATAACTAGTGAAAACGTGCATCTTTGATTACTTTTAAAAGTTTTAAAATGAATAAATAATCAGATTAGCTTTTAAATGAAATGTGCAAGAAAACCTAGTGAGTACCTTGAAGCATCTACTGATGAAGCAAGGTCACCTAAGCTAGCCAGTTCTCAGCTGTTTGGCCCTGGGGGCATGGGAAGGGAGCACTTCCTTGGTGATGGGCAGCATTCAACGGAACCCTACTGCTGTACAGCGTGGAGGAGTAATATTAGTGGGCCTTTGTACCTCTCAGCACATCCCTGTGTAGGGAAATCAATAAGGTGCCAAAAATGTTATTCTTGCCACTCTCAATTGCTAAAAGATAAAAGTTAATAAAATTTAAATTGAGATTCTAAGAACTAACTTTTCCATTACAGGTACAACTCAAGAGCCTCTAAAAGACAAAAAGGTGATTTTTTTCAGCACTCTTTGCAAAAACACAGACCTGTGCATTTATTGGCCCTCACTTGTGTCAGCTTGAGTTGTCCTCACTTGCTCTTGCCATTTATAGAGTTTTGATTTTAAAAGCCTGAGGTGGTGAACTTTGGGGAGCAGCAACCTCACATCCTGCCTACCTGTCCACTCTGCTACATCTTCCACCTTGCCCCTCATCCCCCCACTATCCCCATTGCTCCTGCCTCCACCTGGGAGATGGAACAGTTCATTGCTCCTGCTTCCTCACTTCCTTCACATTGTCCCTGCACTTTTCGAAAAGTGCTGGTGGGGAGAGGGAAAGGATAATTAGTTTCCAGGCAGAAGCAGACAATGGGTGATTTCCCACAAGCGCTGCTCTGCGCTCACTCTTCTCTTTGCCCCGATGGTACGTGTCAATTTCGCACAAGCTGCTGCGCGGCCACATTTTGCCCCACAGCTTCACACGATTTTCCCCGCGTCTACTCAATCCTGTTTTTTGACATGTACCATCGGGGCAAAAGGGAGAAGTGAGCGTGGAGCAGCGCTTGTGGGAAATCACCCACAGTGGCAGCAGTGGCAGAGGGGGCATGGCAGTGAGTACCCTCCAGTGTCTAAATGCACTGAGCTGGCACTGTGAGCAGAGGTGCAAAAATGAGTACTGGGAGAAGCAGCCGCAGTGGAAAGCTCACATCACAACTAAGAAATGGGCCTCAGGGAGAAAGTGATACATCCTACGAATTGTTTACAATTG